CTGGACACTGTGGTTTGTGTGTACAGTAGAACCTTGTTAGTCTGGACACTGAGGTTTGTGTGTACAGTAGAACCTTGTTAGTCTGGACACTGTAGTTTGTGTGTACAGTAGAGCCTTGTTAGCCTGGACACTGTGGTTTGTGAATTTGTTAGCCTGGACACTGTGCTTTGTGTGTACAGTAGAACCTGGTTAGCCTGGACACTGTGGTGTGTGTACAGTATAACCTTGTTAGCCTGGACACTTTGGTTTGTGTGTACAGTGGAGCCTTGTTAGCCTGGACACTGTGGTGTGTGTGTACAGTAGAACCTGGTTAGCCTGGACACTGTGGTTTGTGAATTTGTTAGCCTGGACACTGTGCTTTGTGTGTACAGTAGAACCTGGTTAGCCTGGACACTGTGGTTCGTGTGTACAGTGGAACCTTTATACCGTAGACCCTTGCTAGTCTGGACACTGTGGTTTGTATGTTCAGTAGAACCTTGTTAGCCTGGACACTGTGGTTTGTGTGTACAGTATAACCTTGTTAGCCTGGACACTGTAGTTTGTGTGTACAGTGGAACCTTGTTAGCCTGGACACTGTGGTTTGTGTGTACAGTAAAACCTTGTTAGCCTGGACCCTGTGGTTTGTGTGTTCAGTATAACCTTGTTAGCCTTGACACTGTGGTTTGTATGTACAGTAGACCCTTGTTAGCCTGGACCCTGTGGTTTGTATGTACAGTAGAACCTTGTGAGCCTGGACACTGTGGTGTGTGTACAGTATAACCTTGTTAGCCTAGACACTGTAGTTTGTGTGTACATTCTGTGGTTTGTGTTTTCAGTAGAACCTTGTTAGCCTGGACACTGTGGTTTGTGTGTACAGTGAAATTTGTTAATCAGGAGTCTTTGGGATTTGTTTTACAGTAGAATCTTATTTTAGCTGGACACTCTGGTTTATGTATACAGTGGAAACATCGCTTGTTAAAACAGTTTGTTTTTCAATGAAACAAAGTCCAGAACAATGATGTTTTATCTATAACTATGAAACCATGTTTTTTTTTATCTGTATCGATCAGACAAACATTATCTCTCCAGTTTCTTTATTTTAAATATTGAGGAGATAGCAAGCTATTTTTAGAAAGGGCCTCCTAGCAGGAACTGGGAAAATATCATTGGCTTTTGGCAATAATTAGGAAATATCATCAAGTCTGGGAAAATATCGTATGTTTGGGGAAAAAATGAAAACCTACAATTTGTGAATAGTAAAAAATCCTCGAGCTGTTTCTTACAATAAAATTTATAGCAATAAATAAACACGTCAATTTTCAGTGTTTTTGTTGATTCAATTTCAAATTTTCGTTATTTATGTATTTACTTTAAACGTTCCACATATAACGACTGGAAACTTGTATAAACATGCTTTAAATCGAATTGGGAAAATAAAGACTGAAATGCAGGGTCATTTTTTCAATTGTGAAGGGGTTCCTGTACCGGACCCTATAAACACCTGGAAAAAACCCTGATTGTTTTCTCGTATTGCCGCAAAAATGCCCATACTTGCTGACTGTTTCCTCGTCTTGCAATAGGAAACGGTATACGGTTATAACAGTCTAAGACAGATACTTATGACGTGCTGTACTCCGATCTTACCTAGAGATAGGTAAGCTCCATTCAGAACAGATCCGAGAATTTGCGTTTTTCCTTTGCTTTCACCAAAATGTCTGAGGAATTCCGGGAAGAATATTCCGAAAGTGAAACAGACACCATCTACTAAGAAACTGACCATGAATGAGGAAAATGTGATGACCCATCCCCACCCTCCGTCCGGCGGAGTTGGGGGCTGAGGGGGTACCGCCCTGTTCCCCTTCGATATGGTCCCATTTTCCTTCTCCTTACCCCCGGTCGCCATGTTCGTCAGACGTCGTCAAGGAATAGCTGTTCAAAACAAGACATAAACATCATGAATATGGATAACTGTTTGTGAATAAATAACGGGTTTAAATTCTGTGTTACATTTATATTCAATATTCTATGCAGCGCATCAGGTAAAACATGTATATCAATCGCAAAAACGTTTCAATTCTATTCCCTCACCTGAATTAATTGACGTGCATTAAAACCCAGTTACTGTGCCCCCATCTGCTTAGTGAAATGTTGGCTAAATGGAAAGTATTGGCTGAGAAAAAAGGAATAAGAAGACTGAGACGTTTTTGGTAAGAGACGTGACATTTGATATAAACAAGGGGTTTAAATGTATTATATGGATTTTGAAGTGACGTCCGAGGGATATTATATCGAGGTTTTACTATAAAGTGACAACCAAGGGATATTATATGAGGTTTTACTATAAAGTGACAACCAAGGGATATTATACCGAGGTTTAACTATAAAGTGACAACCAAGGGAAATTATACCGAGGTTTTACTATTGAGTGACAACCGAGGCATAATACCGAGGTTTTACTATAAAGTGACAACCAAGGGATATTATACCGAGGTTTTACTATAAAGTGACAACCAAGGGAAATTATACCGAGGTTTTACAATAAAGTGACAACCAATGGATATTATACCGAGGTTTTACTAGGAAGTGACAACCAAGGGATATTATACCGAGGTTTTACTATAAAGTGACAACCAAGGGATATTATACCGAGGTTTTACTATAAAGTGACAACCAAGGGATATTATACCGAGGTTTTACTATAAAGTGACAACCAAGGGATATTATACCGAGGTTTTACTATAAAGTGACAACCAAGGGATATTATACCGAGGTTTTACTATAAAGTGACAACCAAGGGATATTATACCGAGGTTTTACTATAAAGTGACAACCAAGGGATATTATACCGAGGTTTTACTATAAAGTGACAACCAAGGGATATTATACCGAGGTTTTACTATAAAGTGACAACCGAGGCATAATACCGAGGGTTTTACTATAAAGTGACAACCAAGGGATATTATATCGAGGTTTTACTATAAAGTGACAACCGAGGCATAATACTGAGGTTTTACTATTAAGTGACAACCAATGGATATTATACCGAGGTTTTACTATAAAGTGACAACCAAGGGAAATTATACCGAGGTTTTACTATTGAGTGACAACCAAGGGATATCATACCGAGGTTTTACTATAAAGTGACAACCAAGGGATATTATATCGAGGTTTTACTATAAAGTGACAACCGAGGCATAATACTGAGGTTTTACTATTAAGTGACAACCAATGGATATTATACCGAGGTTTTACTATAAAGTGACAACCAAGGGAAATTATACCGAGGTTTTACTATTGAGTGACAACCAAGGGATATCATACCGAGGTTTTACTATAAAGTGACAACCAAGGGATATTATATCGAGGTTTTACTATAAAGTGACAACCGAGGCATAATACTGAGGTTTTACTATTAAGTGACAACCAAGGGATATTATACCGAGGTTTTACTATAAAGTGACAACCGAGGCAGTATATCAAGGTTTTACCGTCAAGTGACAACTGAGGAATATTATACCGATGTTTCACTGTCAAGTGACAACTGAGGAATTATACCGAGGTTTTACTATGAGGTGACAATTGGTGGGCATTATACCCAGGTTTCAACATGAAGTGACAACCGAGGGGCGTTATACCGGGGTTTACTGAAAAGTGACAACCGAGGCCGGGGCACTATACCGAGGTTTTAATGTCAATTAACATTTATTATGAAGCGACAACCGATGTCATTATACCGAGGTTTACTGAAAAGCGACAAATGAGGGTATTATACCGAGGTTTTAATGTAAACTGACAACAGAGGGATAATCATACCGTTGTTTTACTATTAAGTGACAACAGAGGGCATTACACCGAGGGTTAACTATAAAGTGACGAACGAGGGTTATAATTCGAGGTTTCATTATTTTCATTATATAATGACAAAAAAATTAATTAAGTCAAGGTTTTACTGAATAATAACAAGGGGGGAAACATCGAGGTTTTCCTGTATAGTGATGAATGAACTGGGGAAGTAAAATATTAAATTTCAAAACAAAAACTGAATGCAAAGTTTTGTCGTTTAGTGACACACGAGGGAATGTAATTGAGGTGGTATTGGTATTGGTGGGAGGGGAGGTTGAAATGGGGGCTGGGGTTTGGAGGGTGGGAGGGGAGGTTGAGATTGGGGCTGGGGTTTGGAGGGTTGGAGGGGAGGTTGAGATGGGGGCTGGGGTTTGGAGGGTGGGAGGGGAGGTTGAGATGGGGGCTGGGGTTTGGAGGATGGGAGGGGAGGTTGGAAGGTGTGAGGGGAGGTTGAGGCGGGCGCTGGGGTTTGGAGGATGGGAGTCCGAGGGGAGGTTGGAAGGTGTGAGAGGAGGTTGAGGTGGGGGCTGTGTTTTGGAGGTGGGATGGGAGGTTTGGTGGGGACTAGGGTTTGAGGATGGAAGGGGGGGTTTGGTTTGGGCTGGGGTTTGGAGGGTGGTGGGGGCTGGGGTTTGGAGGGTGGGAGGAGAGGTTTGGTTGGGGCTGGGGTTTAAAGGGTGCGAGGGGAGGTTTGGTTGGGGCTGGGGTTTAGAGGTTGGGAGGGGAGGTTGATGTTGTGGCTGGAGTTTGGAGGGTGCAAGGGGAGGTTTGGTGGGGGCCGGGATTAAGAGGTCTGGAAGGGTAGCTTGGGGTTTTGAGGTTGGGGGTTACACAGAGTGTTGATCTAGATCTCTTCAGCGTGTAATAACACTACTTTCACATAAGGATAGGCCAACAAATATACATCCTGTATCTTGTTATCGGACCCCTGTGATACATATACACCTAGACCTGTACTATATTGAAATTTAACATTAAAATACAACGTTTCACGTATCCCGGTGTTGGTGGCGTCTCAATACCCTTTTCAAGCATGGAAACATAAAAGGATCTCATTATTTTTCAGGGTCACCACTCAATCTGAATAATACCCAACGTATAACATACCCATCTCAAACGTAGACCTGTGGGAGATCAGCATGTTGCCAGATTTTAGATCCTCTATAAATAAAAGCTTGTTATTATTTGTTAAATCTTATACACTTCCCTCTACATAGCTGAAAGGAATTCAGCTCATTCCGGAATCTTATTCGGTCTTGTGTTGGTTTAATATTTAGATTTATTTGTTTACCCTATACGTATGTTATTTCACAAAAGGAAGAACGCGTCAAAATAAAAAGGATATAATTCGGCCTTGATCATCAATGTCTTCATTTAACTCATTCACCCATGAAGACTTCAAATCAATGGTTGGACTAGTTCATTATGAAATTTCAGGGGTGAATGAATTACACGTGTTGACGTCCTTCCGGATTGTCGATACATTTATCAGGTAACCAAACAGAATTGATTACTATGTAAACACGAGCGTATCGTCGGCGTCTTATTTCACACCACACTCAGTTCACTGAACACGGCTGACACGAACGGGTACATGTAGGATTCAAGATCAGCTGTTTGTCACTCGTAAGAAATCAATTTCCTTTAGCAGCTGTTGTGACGTCACTGGGGTTCACCACGGGGAATTAAGAAGCAAGTGTACGTGACAATCCTTGACGTAGATAGAGCTGACCGCAATCCTTCGGCCATTTCCGTGTATGCCTGGGATGATTGACTTGTAACTTCGGCCATTTCCGTGTATGCCTGGGATGATTGACTTGTAGGGTAATATCCTTGATTTTAACTGGTTGATTTTTAAAACAAAGGTAACTTCCAGTTTACGAACCGAAAGCTTATTTTAGCGCATATAGCATAAACCTTAATAACGCACAGGTTACAAATGAAACATATGCAAATAGCAAACACCTTCGACGTTGATGTGGTCACGTTATGACACAAAGTTATGACACAATTGTCGTTGAAGGGTTCAGTCGCGAATCCATGCCACACTTCGCCGATCGAACGTTGAATTTTCATTTTTTTATTTGTTCTCACTTTTAAAACTTTATGCGTTCATAAATCTATTTCTTTACTAATTGAGATATGTCTTCACATTTAAAAGAAACAAAACCCTGTGTAACAGTTATTATGGGACGACACATGAGTCATTTACACTTGTATAAACGAAACGGTTAGATATGTTACCAAATTCGGGAACCGTACGCGTCGGCAATTTCCGTAAACGAGATTTCTGAGGAACGAATTAGCGACAGACGAGATGTGGTTCCCCTGTGTAACGGGTTATATATGGACGCGATATCAGGGGTCATTCATCTTGTTCATGCGATCGGTCAAGTGTCGGTAGCAGCAGGTCATTTAAGCAATCACTATACAACGACATGATGTATACTCGTCCTTGACCTCTGACCTTGTCTCGGGGGGGGGGGGGGGGGGGGGGGGCACAGTCGTGTGTACCAGTGCGATAATGCCACCTAAACTTCGAGATGGCTTTGGTCCAGGGCTTATCCTACGTAAAGTGCATACACATTAATAAAACCAACACGACAGCAAATCACAAGGAGTGAAAGGAAAGGAGACTCGTAATCAAAACATCGGTGTTGATAAAAAGCAAGGCAGTGTAAAGGCGAATTAACGAAATCTCGAGCACTAATGAACTTTGAGTAAACTTTCATGCACACAGAACAACAATTGTATCAAACTTGCAATCGGGCATCACACTATCCTCCTACAAATGTATAGTTATATCACTGATACGATTAAAGCAAAACTCCGACAGCATTGTAGATCCATGGCTATAAATAGCCCAGAGAACTAAAAACATGATAGAAGACAAACGCAATGAACGAATGGGCCTTTGTATGTAATTTATCTCTCTGTTCTACCTTGTCAGGTAAAATTCCACCAAATCATTAATAACTAAAACTAAAAAGAGAAACACTGTCATATTACACGTTAAATCCTTTTACCGCACGAAAGGGACAATTTAGTGGAGTATTTGTTTTATAATCTTGTCTCAAAACTCTCCCTGATAACATAGTTTGATACTCCGTATGAACAATTCATGTCGAGAAATTGACAACAAGAGACGATGTTTTCTTGGCGTTTTTAATCTGTAATAAAAACATCTTATCTGCGCTATTTCAGTCGTAGTTAATTTTATCACCGACTTTCCCAACAGATGAAACTGACCACACTGGACGTTGGCTTCATGTCATGTCATTATCAACTATGTAAACTAACGTTAGAAGATATATATTTTCAGGTTGTCATTTGACTAAATTGTCCCTTTAATGCGTTCCGCTTATTTATACTTTCTTATGACGTCACAGTTTGTTATTAAGAGAATCGCAAACCAACGATAGCTTGTACGTGACGGTAAACGGGTAATATTACGATGAATGCTACCACGTCGGGCGAACTGTGTTTGACCTGCCTTAGACTTCGTTTGCCTTGTCAAGTGAGGAATCGTTTCCACCTACACCCACGTCATACTGGCAAACTATGACCACTGGCTGCAGCGGTCAGTAATAAACTATCAGTGCACGCTGTTGGTGGACTAGGGCCAGAACGGCATTCGTTTATAAGTTTTTCCCTAAACATGGCTATTCGCCTACATTTCATACGTATTCAATCATAACACGCGCACATATGGATTTTTTTTCCTGAACAACACACTTTTGTATCGTTTAGTTTAAAAACTGGCTTTTTATCTCTGCAAAGATAATTTTCAGTTTTAATGATCAAACGGTTCCTACATGAACGGATAAAACATGTACGGATAAACTACCATTTTTGAATAAATCAATCATTTATATCGATCATTTTGGTGTCTGATTTAGACATATATAACGGAATGTATATACATATATTTACATTTGCTCTGCTCCCTTCCATTGCAATGCATTGAGAAGGCAAGTGTTGTTGTAAGACTATAACATTTGCTATTGTGACGTCATCAATCTCATTGTTGTCAAGACTTAATTTGCTGTTCAAAAACTGTTCGAAATAATTAATGAAACGTACCTACTCTATCAAAATGTAAATAATGTATACTTTAGCTAATATTTGTATGGACCTACAACACACATTTCTATTGCTGACAAACTTACATGTTTAAAGCCGTGTCATTCTTTATCTTTTATCCAGTTTGTCATCAATAGCAATGTGTGTTATAGGACCATAACAACATTTGCTAAAACATTCATTACTTGAGTATATGCGACAAGGCCAAATGAAAAATGTAGTTTGTTTCCGGAAACCCAACCTACCCTATTGTTTGTACCTACCCTATTGTTTGTACCTACCCTATTGTGTGTGCCTACCCTATTGTGTGTACCTACCCTATTGTTTGTACCTACTCTATTGTTTGTACCTACCCTATTGTTTGTACCTACCCTATTGTTTGTACCTACCCTATTGTTTGTACCTACCCTATCGTTTTTACCTACCCTATCGTTTGTACCTACCCTATTGTTTGTACCTACCCTATTGTTTGTACCTACCCTATTGTTTGTACCTGCCCTATAGTTTGTACCTGCCCTNGTTTGTACCTACCCTATTGTTTGTACCTACCCTATTGTGTGTACCTACCCTATTGTTTGTACCTACCCTATTGTTTGTACCTACCCTATTGTTTGTGCATACCCTATTGTTTGTACCTACCCTATGGTTTGTACCTACCCTATTGTTTGTACCTACCCTAAACTTTTTGACAATTTTGAGGAAGAACTGTACAAGTTATGAAAACTTTCCTATATAAAAACGGCAAAAAAACCACCAAAAAACCTACCAATCCGATTTTTAGACATGTAACATGAAACAAACACGTTTTTTTGTTTGGACCAAAAGGCCCTCTACGACATCTTAAAGTAAGCGTACAATGTACTTTTGTCACTTTGTTATCGGAATTTGTATCAAACGGAAACTACAGATGTCAAAAGATAAATAACAAATGTTCCCACAGAATACCTCATCTATTGATCGCGTCAGCCCATTATAATTCAGTGAATCTTGAAATCGACATGATAAATAATGTAAATTTCGATGCGCCATAAAACATGTAACATGTGCCACTGTGACAATTCGTTTTATAGCATTGTCAGCTTCACTGTCGTTAAATTAAATTTTCTGAATGATATTTTTCACCCGTACTGCTAAAATGTACATAAATGTACCTTTATGCTTCAAATATAATTTTTAAATTATCATACAGTTGTCATTGACTTCCACATCTTTTGAAAATATCGAACATTATAAAAAGATTTAGACTTTGAAATCTGGTTCAAAGACTACTAAAATTATCAGTGCGTTGCATGTACAATAAATATATTATGAAATTGTGATTTAAAACTTTGGTTTTGAATTCTTAGTTTCTCCTGATGTATGAAAATATTCCACTACATGTACGTCTGAAGCGACAAATGTTGACAGCTGCAACCCATAACTCTCGGAACCTCCATCAGAATCCATTCGGCAATTTCGGTCATAGAATGAATTTGACGTCAAATGATGCTTGGCCCCGGCTACTCTAAAAGTATGACGGAAATACCCGAACAGTTTCCGATACGAAAACATTCCCGTATACTAGTTTCTGATGTTGTGTGATTATGATTTTCTAACAGGTTTATGTACGGACATCACAGCGTAACATGCTGTAAGGATCCGATAACATCAAAAGGAAATGATACATTGGGGACTTTGTGAGAAATAATAAATGTGACATAAACAAACTGCAATCAACAACAGTACGTCATGAGTGTAGAAATCTAGCGAGGCTCGACCGAGATTCGAACCCTGGACCTCACATTGACCCTCGCTCCAACTGATTAAGCTACCTGATCGTGGTCCAATTGTGCTACAGTTTTATCCAAACAGAAGTTAAACGGCGGAGGGGTTACTGTATATAAGTCTTTAAATCACCGACGAAGTTTACCGACAAATGCCGAGTGAATCTTAATCCTGTCTAGAACAAGGCGAACCCCCATGTTATCAGTGGGAAAGTGCATCTGTTTATAAACAGACAATAGCCTTTCTCTCTTGTAAACCTGTTTACGTTTTAACATTTAAAGGTGATTGTTCTTATCAGTCCCATTCGGAAGCTGTCGAGATATGGCGGACATGCATGCGTCTTTGTCTTAACTCAGTTGCTCTCATGTCAGGTAACGCGTTTCTATGACGTTCATAATACAGGTTTTAAGGTTATAAATATCCAAACAACATGTCCGACATTTTACCGTGTTCATTCTTTATAACGGACTGTCTAATTGGACGAATTTGATCACATGATTGACGGGACAGTAAAACATTGTTCTTGCAAGCTCGGGTTTCCCCGATCATATTTCCCTTATTCGGAGCCTCTGAGTCTCAATAAAAATGCACATTGTTCATAAGATATCTCCTTAATTGATAAGATTATCTTCTTAAGTTTACAAGGTACCTCTTTAGGTATAAATAGGTCAGGATGTGCTGTACGTAGACCAATCGGGAACCGTCCTCACATTCCGTAAACGAGAACGGAAAGGCCCGACGGTTCCCGAGTGTACGTAGATCTTTCACTGATCAATAATTAACATGTTTTGAACTATGTGATCAAATAATGTCACTATTAGCATGTAATCAACACCCATAATACAGTAGGCACCCGCGCTGTTTCTAAATAGAAAGGCATTCAATCTAAGGCCAAACAAACAGTGAGTGTGTTTCCTGTGAAAGGTTTGAAACAATTCGGGTACAAATGTATGTAGGCAACCTATTTTATATCAAAAACTAATAAGATGGTTTATACAGGTGATCCGTGTGCTTCTTTGAAATTGCCTGAAACATTACAGGTTTGCAGGCACAACAAT